AGAATGTCTGACCACCAGGAGGGGATGTGGGTAGACATTGAGTAGTGTAAGCTGGAGTCCCAGGCTGCTGTCCTTCCCTGCTTCTGAAGGGCTGGCTGTCTTCTCCCTGCCTGACCCTCTGTGGAGATCAGAATGAGAATGGCCCCTATAGGTTCATATATTTAAATCCTGGCACCCAGTTGCAACTGGGAAGGATTAGGAGATATGGCCTTTTTTGAGGTGTGTCACCGAGGGTAGGCTTTGAGATTTCCAAAGGCCATGCCATTCTCAGGTAACTCTTTCCGCCGCCTCCTGCTTGTTTATCTATCAGGACGTAAGTTCTCAGCTATTGCTCCAGCAGCATGCCTACCTAACGCCATGCATCCCACCATGATGGCAAGGGACTCTAGCCTTCTGGAACTCTGACCCCCCCAATATGTTTTCTTTTATAAATTGCCTTAGCGCATGCCTTTAATCTCAGTAGTGAGGAGGCAAAGGTAGGCAGATTTCTGTGAGTTCAAGGCCAGTCTGGTCTAAGAACTAGTTCCAGGACTGGCTCCATAGCTACTGAGAAACCCTGTCTCGAACCTCCACCCCCCCCCAAAAAAAAAACACACTGCCTTGGTTGAGGAGTCTCTTCACGGCAATAAAATTAAGACAATCTCTTCTGTCACTGCCCAGGGCCACCAAGAGCTCAGTAGCAGGAAGCAAAGTGTGCCAAATTCAAGAGCCAGCTCAGATGGGCATAGCCCCCCCTGGAGTTCTGAAGCTAAAATAGAGCCTGGGATCCTGTATCCAGCACTTCAGATGGTGACTCATAGCAATAATGATCATAATAGTCACAGTAATAATAAACAATAGCTCATGCCTGCCAGGGGATGCTGAGTCATGGGCCAGAGTTTGGCATTCTCCAGTGGTCCTGAGGTTTGTCCTTTCTTCATTGGTATTTGTGTGTCATATTCATGCAGGTGTGTATCTGCTTGAGAAGGGCAGGGGAAAACCTCGACTGTCATTCTTTAATCGCCATCCACCTTGTTTTTCTGCGACAAGGTCTCATTGGCCTGAATCGTCCCTGTTGGGTAGGGAAGTTGACCAACATTCTTCCATGGCCAGTCCGCGTCTGCTTCCCCACACTGGGCACTGAGTAGAAGGCACCCCACCTGGCTTTTTGGTGTATTCTGTGGCTCAAACCTTATTTCCTTCATAGTTCACGTTTTAGACTGAGCTACCTCTGAGCTGGCTGGCTTGGTTTCCTTCCTCCCTTCCATCTCCTTCCACCACCACCCCTGTTTTTTTTTGGGGGGGGGGCAGGGTCTCTAAAGTTCACTTAGTAGGTTGGGCTGACGCTGACCTCAGACTTAAAACCCTCCTGCTAGCTGGGCAGTGGTGGCGCACACCTTTAATCCCAGCACTTGGGAGGCAGAGGCAGGCGGATCTCTGTGAGTTCAGTTGCCAGCCTGGTCTACAAGAGCTAGTTCCAGGGCAGGCTCCAAAGCTACAGAGAAACCCTGTCCCGAAAAACCAAAACAAAAACCCTCCTGCTGCTGTCTCAGCTTCCCAGATGTGAGTGCCATCTCAAGCCTGAGGTTCATTCCACGCTAAATGCCCACTGACTAGGAAGAAGGTACCCTAGGCTACTGGAAGGGCCTATGTTTATTCCTCAAGGCCCAGAGGTCTTGTAGATCTTCTGCATCTTAAATCTGGCCTGGCCAGGGATACCCAAGGGGTTTCCCCAACAGAGACTTTCCACCCTAGCAGCGGACAAACCCAGGTTAGTTAGACAATTTTCAGAAATGGCGTGGGGGGGCTTCCCCCTAAGCAGGGCAGGCTTTTCTGGGAGGGGCTTCCCTAAAGTTAACACCAGGTCTGGGAAAAGCCAATTAAAGAGATTTAAAACAAAACCCTGTCTTCTGAGCTGGGGGGTTCAGGGGACACTCAGGCCTCTCTCCTGAGAGCTGTGAGGTGACTTGCCGTGAAACCGTTTCATGTTGGACACGAGTGTGAAACCACCTTCTCCAGAAACCGCACAGCAAGCACAACAGAACAAGCTACAGGCGGCAGGGCCCACAAGAGACAGCTCACGTTCTAGCCACTTGGCCCTGACCCCCACACAGCATCTTGACCCTGCTGTGTTCTCCCCATCTGAGGGCAACTAAATTAGCAAACGTGAAAAGCTTGGTGTGAGGGAGATGGCTGCCAGCAAAGGGCCTGCTCTGCCCTGCAAGGACACCCAGCTCAACCCCCAGGACTGTAGTAACATGTCTACCTCAGTGCTCAGGCGGCAGGGACAGGTCACCAGAGGCTCAGTGACCAGCCTCTAGGTGCTGAGATGGCCCAGAGGGTAAAGGCACTTGCCACCAACACTGACATCCTGAGTTCTACATGGTGCAAACAGACAACTCCACACGTGTGCGGCCACATGCATGTTCAGTCACACACAGTAGATGCCAATAAAAATCTTAGACCTATATTTGTGGAATTATTGTTATGAAAAACACCATAGGTTGAGACAAGATACCCAGCCTAAGCTGGCCTTAAACGCTTTCCATGTTCTTGCCGCAGTCCCCCCGAGTGTTGGGATTATAGCCATGAGCCCCTTTCCCAGTTATGATAGCTCATGGTACTAGGATGGTGACACAGTAAAGCGGCTCAACTCATGCTCATCAGGCCCTGCGAGGATGAGGCAGGATTGCCACAAGTTTGAGACTAGCCCATGTTACAGTGAGTTAGCCTCAAAAGAAATCATGGGAGTTGAAGGAATTGCTTAGTGGTTAAGAACAGTGATTTCAGCTGGGCGGCGGTGGCGTACACCTTTAATCCCAGAACTTGGGAGGCAAGAGCAGGCGGATCTCTGAGAGTCCAAGGACAGCCTGATCTACAGAGACAGTTCCAGGACAGATAGGGCTACAGAGTAACCTTGTCTCAAAAAACCAACACTGATTGCTCTTAACCTGGCTCAATTCCCAGCACCCACACGACGGCTTAAATCCTTTTTACTTCAACAAAAAATATATATATGGATGTGCTGTCTGCATGTCTCTACATGCATTTGGATCCTCTGTAACTGGAGTTACAACACTGAGGCTGCAGAACTGTGTGGCTCACTGCTACCCCCTGGTGGAAATTCACTCGACAACAGCATTCAGGCTAATTCATCCTTCACTGCTTGGCCGATCTTTGCTGCTGGCCTACTGTGGCCCAGGCCCAGTGCTGTCTGGAGGAGAGTGTGTTAAGTGCTGAAGCTGTTTATAGACCATGGGATGTGATAGTACCCAGGTTGGTGAGGCTGTCTGGACGACTAGGTGTTGGTAGGCTCAGAGAGGTTCTGGGACATTACTGGAATGTGGTGGCACTGAGTCTCAACCAGTTATAATGTTCTGAACTTTTTTTTTCTTTTCCTGATATAGGGTCTTACTGTGCAGCCCTGGCTGGCCTGGAACTCATCATGTAGACCAGGCTGGCCTCAAACTCAGAGATCCGCCAGCTGTTGACTCCCAAGTGCTAGAATTTAAGGTGTGTGCCACTGCCTGGTGCTGAACTGGGTTCTGAGTGTCAAGCAGCTCCCAGAGTGCAACGTACCCTGGAAAGGAGGATGAAGGGGTCAGACATCTGTAAAGTCATGCCTGTTGCTGATGTCAGCTGAAGCAGCTCACATACAGTTTTTTTCTGGTTTATTCATTTGTTCATCTATCTCCTGGCGTATGTGCATGTGTGTGGGGCTCAGAGGACAACTTACAGTGCTGGTTCTCTCCTACCAGGTGAGTCCTGGCAAGTGAAACTGTGTAAGCCTGGTGGCAAGTGCCTTCAGCGGCTGGGCCCTCTTACCAGCTCGCATTAACTTACTGATTGACTTCCTCTGACGTGCTGTGTATTTGTAGGGTCCAGAGGATGCTGAATGTCCTGCTCTGTCATGCTTTTTATTCCCTTAAGAGTCTCTCACTAAATCTAAAGTGAGACTAGTAGCCAGCATGCCACATCTCAATCCCCAACAGCACCAAGGTGACATAAATGCACAGGGTCATATCCAGCATTTTCTAGTGGGTTCTCTCAGGCCTCGGCACCAATAGCCACCTTCCCAGTCAACTGGTCCGGGACCTCGGGTCCTGGGGTTGCAGGTGTTTGCCACACCCAGTTTATGCAGCATGGGGCTGGAAGTCAGAGCTTCCTGAACCAGGCTCAATTTCCACTGATACAGGGTCTCGCTGGTCAGCCCAGCCTGGCCTTGAACTCAGGACCCTTCTGTTTCACACTCCTACCTGCCGGATGATAGGTGTACGTACAGTTTTTTGGTTTGTTTGTTTTTTTAACAATGCTGGACTGGAAATCACACATTAAACTAAGCCCTGCCGTAGAACTGCAGTCTGAGTCGCATTATGCTCTTTTCAACAGCAGAAACACTTCCCAAATGCTTGACACTGCTTCTCCAGTGGACACGGACAAGGGTCAGGGCTGCAGAGGACACTGGTTCCACCGGAAGAAGCCATGTGGTGGGCTTCCAACACCTGTAACTGCAGTTCCAGGAGACACTCCATGTGCTCACACAACACCCACACACATAAAGTAAAAAAATGAAAATTGAAGCTGGACGTGGCTTGTGCTTTTGATCCCACCACTTGAGAGGCAGAGGCAGGTGGAATCTCTTTGAGTTTGAGGTCAGCCTGGTCTCTATAGTGTGTTCAAGGACAGCCAAGGTTATGTAGAAAATCTGTCTCAAAAAGATACATGCATGCACACACTCTCATGAGCACACATATGTACACAAACAGAAACATACAAATCAATATTTAGAATAAGAAGCTACGTATTTCTCATGTAGCCCAGGCTGCCCTCAAACTTGGGTCCTTTTGCCTCCACGGAATGCTTGCTAGGTGAAGAGGGGAGGAAGAGGGAGGAGAAGAGGAAGGACAGGCTGAAAAAGACAAGGAGGTGGAGGGAGACTGAGGGCCAAGAGCATGGCTGTCAGGACTCCGGTCCTCCCCATCTAGTTTCCCTCTGCCTCAAACAGCACTGAGCCATTGGCATCCAGCACCTGGAACTGTTTATTAGACATTGTTGCCAGTTGCAGGATAGAAAGCTAGACAGAAGAAAAACAGTGATCACAGATCCATAGGGACAGACCCTGCCCATCTGGGGACATGTGTATACCCAACCCAGTGGACCAATCTGGCAACTGTTGCCCCTCCCCAGACCCCCAGGACTTTGGCATAATGCTGATGGGGGGAGGGGCTGAAGACAGTAGAGCCCCTCAACCCGAAGCAGGAAGTCTGATGAGTGCTGGGGACAGGCTGGAGGAGAGGGGACATGGGGCAAGCCAAGGGTTGGGATGTGAGGGGCAGCAGAAGTGAAGGAAGTCAGGAGCTAGGAACATGGTGTCTAGGTTTCCTTTTCTGGAGAAGGGCCCACAGAGGCCTGCAGGCCAGTGGCAGTGGCTGGGGCAGGTCACGCACTGATGTCTTTCTCGTTGCCCGCTTTGGGGACGGCTTCCAGCAATGGGTCCCCGGGGCCCGCCTCCTCCCCCTCCTTGGCCTCACCAGACTTGGAGTTGGGGACCCAGAGGCCAGAATCGATGCAACGTTGCATGTGATACTTGGCATCCTGTGAAGATAAAGCACAAGCAGGTGAGGCTATGCCAGCACCATGGCAGACCCACTGTCTCCGGCACCTCCTTCCAAGGTGGTTCAGCACCTACTCTACCCAGAATTGGCTAGAAGAACAACAGAAAGGACTGGTACTGTGGCTCAGCTGGTAGATCACTTGTGTTCCTGAGGCTCTGGGTTCCATTCCAGCACCACAGAAGACCAGCTATGGTGGTGTGCACTTAGGAAACGGAGGCAGGAGGGTCAGGAGATCAAGGTCATCTAGCTACACAGATATCTGAGGTCAGCTTGGGCTACATGAGACCCTGTCTCAAAAAAACACATACATGTACACAAAAAGGAGTAGAGGTAGCTACTGAGTAGGTGGCTCAGCAATTAAGAATGCTTTCCCTCGCCAGGAGGTGGTGGCACACGCCTTTAATCCCAGCACTCGGGAGGCAGAGGCAGGCGGATCTCTGGGAGTTCGAGGCCAGCCTGGTCTACAAGAGCTAGTTCTGGGACAAGCACCACCAAAGCTACAGAGAAACCCTGTCTCGAAAAACCAAAAAAAAAAAAAAAAAAAAAAAAAAAAAAAAAAAAGATTTCCCTCAAATCATTAAGACCAGAGATCAGATCTCAGCACCAAAGTAACAAAACAAGGGAGGCTTCCTTTTCCTCAGAAAACAGAGGCAGGAGATCTGTGAGTTTGAGGCTAGCCTGGCCTAGATTTCAAGTGCACACTCCCTAAGCTGACCAATGCTGCAACCCATTCGCTGTGAAGCACAGCTGTAAACAGAAAGGATCCAGAAGCTGGAAACAGACAAGATGGGGCCATGTCTCAGCAGACATTTATCTGTGGTGCTAGGCACAGAGTTCAGGGCTGCACAGCAGCTTTCTAAGTGTCTACCACTGAGCCACAGTTTGTCAAAAAATTAGTTTTTACACTTCTTTGTTTGGCAGTGCATGCACATGGAGGTCAGGGAGAACCTGTGGGAGCCAGTTCTCTCCTCCACCACGTGGAGAGAACCTGTGGGAGGAGTTCTCTCCTCCACCAAGTAGGTCCCAAGGATGGAATGTGGCTGTCAGGCTTGGGGGCAGGCACCTTCTTCTGCTGGGGTACCTTGTGGCCTTCACTTGCTTGCTGAGGCAGGTAATCAGAATGGAGCCCACACTGGTCTCAGCTCACAAGCCTCCCGCAGCTTGAAGACTGTGGCAGAACACCTGTTTCCTAATGAACTCTGCTTCTCTTTCAAACCATTTTATATGTATGGGTGTTTTGCTCACATCTCTGTCTGTGCACCAGCTGCATGCCTGGTGTCCACAGAGACCAGAAGAGGGCACAGGATACCTTGGGACTGGAGTTACAGGTTGTTGTGAACTGCCATGTGGGTGCCAGGAATTGAACCTGGGTCTTCTAGAAGAGCAGTCAGAGCTTTTAACAACCAAACCATCTCTGTACTCCTTCTCTTTTGGTTTTAGTGACTGGCATTAATGTATCCCAGGCCTCAGCATGTTAGCAGACCTCACTCCTCGTCCTGAGTGCTGGGACTGCAGGTGTGTACTTGCCACTTGGCTTTATGCAGTGCTTTGGACAGAACCCAGGGCATCCTGCATGCCAGACAAGTGTTCTGCAACTGAACTGTAGCCCCAGTCCTGGCCACCAAACTTTTCCTCTTTGTTTTTTTGAGACAGGGTTTCTCTGTATCTGATTATCTTGGAATGTGCTCTGTAGACCAGGCTGGCCTCCAACTCAGAGACCTGCTTACCTCTGCTTCCCAAATGCTGGGATTAAAGGTGTGTACCACCACCACTATTTTGATTCTGTCATAGAGTGTTGGTCATAGAGACTCTTGAGGTTGTAGCACAAAGAAGCATGGGGGCTGCGGGGGGCAGCCTTTCAATTACATTTGTTCTACAAATGTAACTGGCAAGTCTTCCACTGCAGTCTGTAAACTCTGTTCTACATATGCATTTCCATGGGAATTCTAGAATCCCTAGTACTGGTCCTGTGTATAGAATGTTTCCACAGATAAGAAAACTAAGGTAGCTAAATTAGAAGCCAGCTGACAGAACTGGCAACAAACCAAGTTGGATGCCTGATTCAACAATCATCCAAATTCAAACCTGATTTGGATGTCTGGCTCAGTGGTAGAGCCCATGCCTAGAATCCCCCAGTGAGGGGCTGGAGTGTGGCTCAGTGGTGGAGCCCCTGCCTAGAATCCCCCAGTGAGGGCCTGGGGTGTGGCTCAAAAGCAAACTGAGTGTGTAGGAAGCATTGGATTACATTATCAAGAGTCACTGAAAAGAATAAAAGGAAAAAGCTCAACATTCACTACTGATGACGAGTGTACAGCAGGTACTCAACAAATCGTGCCTCTGTCAGGAGTGCGGGGCCTCTCCTGTCTTAAGAGAAGCCCAGGAGGGACACTATCCTGAGTCCCAGATGTAGGAGGCAAGGACTCTACCCCTGAGCTACACCCCCATCCTTCTATTGTCACTCCAAGATAAGGTTTCACTGAGCTGCTCTGGCTCATCTTGGCTTTGAACTTATAACCCTGCTCTTAGCCTCTTGAGAAGACAGGCTTGCACCCCTAGGCCCAGCCAAGAGGGCTACTCCTCTCCATCTTCTGCAGAATCTTGGGGACCAGGTCTAGAACACAAACAGCCTTCAGGACCACTCATGGGAACTCACAGTAGGATCCATCTTGCTGATGGCGTCTTGCAGCATCTGCACGTCCTTCACATCAAAGCATTTCTGCAGGTCCTGGGGTACAGAGGGGCAGAGTGAGGTATGGGGGAGGGGATGGAAATGCTCACAGATCACTCCCCTCCTCCAGAGCCCTGGAGAGTCGCACCTCGGGCAGGGACTCGTAGACCTCCACGGGGTCCAGGCCACCAGGGCCCAGCCTCTTCTTGCGCTCCTCCTCCTCATATTCCTTCATGGCCTTCTCTATACGCAGCTTGGCGCGGCCCCGAACACGCTCCTTAAAGGCCTCCAGTTCATACTTGAAGCCCTCCATGTACTGGTGGTCGGCGGTCTGTGGAAACAGGTGGGTGCTGTTCACTGGACAGTTGACACCCAAGTGTTTGGGGGTGAGGCCTGTCTGCAGCTCTTGGAAGCCTTCTGTGGCTCCCTGAGGCTTTTCCTGAACTCCCCATGGGCACCTCAAGGCTTTGCCTTGCTCTCCTGTACTGCGAGCCCCTTCCTACTACCTTGTGGCCCATCTACTGATGGCCAGCTGCCTGGCCAGCCAAACAGCGCAGGCCTCGTACCACACCCACAGGTGTCCTTCAGCAAGGTCTTACAGGCACCACAGTTTTGGATTATTCTACTACCCTGCCCTGCTCTCAGGAGCCCCAAATCTTTCAGAGGACCATGTTCAGTTCCCAGCATCCACATGACAGCTTAGAAACACCAGTGATTCCAGCTCCAGGGATCCAACACCCTTTTCTAGCTTCTGGAGACCCCTGCATGCACCACCAACAAGAAATAAAGGAATACCCGGGCGGTGGTGGCACACGCCTTTAATCCCAGCATTTAGGAGGCAGAGGCAGGTGGATTTCTGTGAGTTCAAGGCCAGCCTGGTCTACAAGAGCTAGTTCCAGGACAGTCTCCAAAGCTACAGAGAAACCCTGTCTCAAAAAACCAAAAAAAGAAATAAAGGAATAAATATAAGAACAAATCTTCTAACAGGGTCAGCAAGGTAAGGTTCAGTGGGTGAGAATATTTGCCATGCAAGACCAACAGCCCAACAGCATGTTTGAGCACGGGAACCCACATAAAGGTGGAAGGAGAGAATCAACTCAAACAAAGCTGTCCTCCTATCACATGGGCCCACACACACATCATACATACTATACAGACATGTCTACACACATATATACACACCACACACATATACATATATATCATACACATACACAATCTTTTTTTTTTTTTTTTTTTTTTTTGGTTTTTCGAGACAGGGTTTCTCTGTGGTTTTGGAGCCTGTCCTGGAACTAGCTCTTGTAGACCAGGCTGGTCTCGAACTCACAGAGATCCGCCTGCCTCTGCCTCCTGAGTGCTGGGATTAAAGGCGTGCGCCACCACCGCCCGGCTCACATACACAATCTTAAAAATAAAAAAGAGCCAGATAAAAGCCGGGCTGTGGAGGCACATGCCTTTACTCCCAGTATTCAGGAGGCAGAGGCAGGTGGATCTCCATGAGTTCGAGGCCAGCTTGGTCTACAAGTTCTAGTTCCAGGACAGACTTCAAAGCTACAGAGAAACCCTGTCTTGGAAAACCAAAAGGAAAGAAAAGAAAAAGAAATGAATGCGATGACCATATTCAGTCACTGTGTTCCCACACCACCCTGAGCCCTTCTCATAAAAGATCTGACCCCAGGTCCCTAGTCAGTGTGGACACCTGGTAGTACAGGAGCCCATACCTTGATCTTGGTGAAAAACTGCCGGAAGCAGGCGCGGGGGTCGACCTTCAGGCTCTTGGCTAACTCCAGGATGAACTGCATCACCATGGTCTGGTGAGCCACCTGTTCCATCAGCGCACACTTCTCCTCCACTTCCAGGTCGATGCACCAGATCACCAAGTAGTTGGCGGTCTCCTCGCACACCAGGTGGACGTTGTCCGACAGGTACTTCTGGCTGTCATCCCAGCGGTGGAGCATGCCTGCGGGGAAGGATGTTGCAGAAGCCACTGGAAGCCCTTGTGTGGTCTTGATTCCCAGCTGGAGCCCTGCGCAGGAACTTACCAAAATGTTTGATTTGTTTTTCGTACTTCTCAACGAAGGTCTTGTGCTTCTGCTCTCTCGCCTCCTCTGAGTCCTCCTCTGCCTTCTCAGGCTTGGTATTGACCATGCTCTGTGACAGGGCGAGAGGGCAAGTGGGCTGGGGCAAGGCACGGGTGCGCCCGGGGTGCGGGGGCCGTGGCCGCCGCGCCCATCCTGTCCACATCGGAGGCGGTGGTGTCGCTAAGTGCATCAAGGTGGCAGAGGCGTGGCCGCGGGCCTTCGGGCAGATCAGAGGGTATGGGTGGGCTTCACTGAGCTCCACCAGCCAATCCCAAGCTCAACCTGTCCCCCTTGTGGCTTTGCCTGACTCTCACTGTCAAAATTCTCCTAATTTACAGGAATGGGGAGATGCGGGGGGACCGGGGGCCTTCACAGTTCACTAGGTCTAGCCCCCACCATCAAACCATGCTCAACCCACATCTGACTACACTCGCAGTGCTCTCGCCCGTGTCCCACCTTGCTGAAGCCATCTTTGCTGAGGGTGTCCACGTTCCAGGGCATGCTCTTCTCCTTCTTGCGCATGTCCTCCAGCTTCTGCTCCCAGCTTCGCTCCTCCTTGCGCAGCTGCTGTGCCTCAGCTCGCAGACGCTCAAGCTCCACTTGGCCACTGCCCTCCGCCACTTCCAGCTCCTTCAGCTTGCGCTGGCACTCAGCTACCTTGCGTTTGCATTCACGGCAGCCCCGGTCCAGTTCCTCCTTCTCCTTCTGAAACTGCTCCATGCGCTCCACTCGGGCCTGTAGGCAGGGACATGCAGCAGTTGGTCACTTAGAAAGAACAACTTTGGGAGCCAGGCATGGTGGCGGTCACCTTTAGTCCCAGCACTTGGGAGGCAGAAGCAGGTGGATCTCTGAGTTCTACAAAGAGAGTTCCAGGACAGCCTAAGTTACACAGAGAAAAAACCCTGCTTCAAAATAAACAAACAAATCAAAATGAGAGAAAGAGAGAGAACAAACAAAAGAACAACTTTATCCCCTGACCCCTGTCTAGCCCTGGGGTTTCAATCTCTGCACTGGATACAACCCCAGGATACATATGACCAAAGTCTAAGCCCTGGCCTCCCAACTTCCAGCCTGGTGCCCGGATGCCACATTTTTAGTTTTTTGTCTCATCAGCATCAACTTCTCTATATAGTTGAGAATGAATATAAACTCCTAATCCTGCTGCCTCTCCAGTGCAGGTGCAAGGTAGAGCAACAGGAACTGATCATGAGGCGAGTAACTCAGCAGTAGAGGCCTTGCTTAGCATCTTAGTTTGAAAAAATAGCTTTAGCCGGGCGATGGTGGCACACGCCTTTAATCCCAGCACTCGGGAAGGCAGAGGCAGGCGGATCTCTGTGAGTTCGAGACCAGCCTGGTCTACAGAGCTAGTTCCAGGACAGGTTCCAAAGCCACAGAGAAACCCTATCTCGAAAAACAAAAACAAAACAAAACAAAAAAAATAGCTTTAATCAATCTATCTATCTATCTATCTATCTATCTATCTATCTATCTATTTATTTCTGTGTGTGTGTGCTCACACAAAGAGAAAATGTAAGGGTTCTACCGTGTGGGTGCCAAAGATTGAACTCAGGTTGTCAGGTGTCACCCACTGAGCCATCTTGCTTTGTTGTTAGCCCTACTTACCATCTTAAGACACCTCGGGGCTGGAGAGATAGCTCAGAGGGTTAGGAGTACTGGCTGTTCTTCCAGAGGTCCTGAGTTCAATTCCCAGATTCCCAGCAACCACACGGCAGCTCAAAACCCTCTATAATGAGACTTGATGCCCTCTTCTGGCATTCAAGCAGACAGAGCACTGTATATATAACAAGTAAGCAAATCTTTTTAAAAAGACATCTTGGGGGCTGGAGAGATGGCTCAGAGGTTAAGAGCACTGATTGTTCTAGAGGTCCTGAGTTCAATTCCCAGCAACCACATGGTGGCTCACAACCATCTGTAATGAAATTTGGTGCCCTCTTCTGGCCTGTAGGCACACATGCAGACAGAACACTGCAAACAAAATAAATAAATAAATAAATCTTAAAAAAAAAAAAAAAAGACATCTTGACTGCACCAGCACCATAAACAAAACCAAAGAAAAACCCAAGTGGCCATCATGGAGTACTCAGGTGACCAAGCACTCAGGGAGGTTGAAGTAGAAGACTGAGTACCTACCAAGCCAGCCTAAGAACTCAGGAACACCTGTCTTGAAATAAAAGTTAAGGCCAGGTATGGCAGCAAATGCCTTTAATCCCAGCAATGGGCAGATGGAGGCAGATGGTGGATCTCCATAGGAAGTTGGAGACAATACAGGAGATGGCGACAGTGAGAATGCTTTAGGAGGGAGACAGTTCCCAGGGAAGAACACTGTGCAAGGATAAGCCTGAGTTCAGGTCCCCAGCATTCAAGAAAAAAAGTATGCTGCCTGTAACCTCAGCACTGTAGGGAGCAAAGACAGGAGGATGGCTGGAACTTGTTGGCCCTAGCCTGGCTCCAGGTTTAGTGAGACCCTGTCTCGAGGGAATAAGGCATAGAGTGATGGGGCATGACCCCGACATCCTCCTCTGTCCTCTGCATGTGAACCCACACTCTCGCTCACACACGACAACAAAGTCCCCTTCTGTAGTAGCCCTGGCCTGTGTCATGTTCTCCTAGGGCTCTAAGGTAAGCGCCTCACTAGCCTGACAGCGGCAGGAAGCTGCCAGGCTGCTGGTATTCTGGACATTCTCCCTAGTGTCCTCTGAGTAGCTGCCAGGGAGGCTGAAGCTAAAAAAAAAAAAGTGGGGTGTGTGTGTGTGATGGTAACAGCTGTCACCTGCCCAACCAGGCTTACACCTTCCACATGGCAAGGACGGCAGCAGGCGGACCCAGGCACAGCTAACAGGGTGGAGAGAGTGTTCCTTACAGAAGGGACACTGAGGGTCTCAGAATTTTGACACCATAAAGCTCACTGGAAGGAGCCAGAAGGAACTCCACATGGCACATGTCTGGTCACAGAGCCTAGGAAGTGGGGCTGGGAACTCACTTGCCCCTTTCTCAAACCTCCACATCTGTATTTTCTGGTGGTAGCTCTACCAGGGGCTGCACCCAGTGCGCCACACCTACGCTACAAGCGGCCTTTTCGTATTTCATAGTCTGACATGGTTGTCTCCTTACATCGCTGAGGCTGGCCCTGACCTCACTCTACATTGTTGAGGATGGCCTTGAATTTGTGATCTCCTGCCTCAGTTTCCCCAATAGCTGGAAAAATAGGCCTACACCACTGGACCAAGTTGGGATTTTTTAAATTTCACTTTTTAGTTCACCATGTATGGTGGCAGGAACAGTGTGTGTGGAGTGTGGAGGTCGGAGGACCTTGCTGACCGGTGCCCTTACTGTTCAGTTTTAGACAAGGGCTCATATAGCCCAGGCTGGCCTCCATTTGCTACGTGACCACAGACAGCTTTGAATGACAACCATGCACCTATCATGTCTGGCTTCAAATATGTTTGGAAACCACAAGGCAGACCTAAACAGTGATGACAGTAACTATTACTCCACAAGACACATCTCAACAGCGATGACAGGAAATACTAACCCAAGGGAAACCTTGCTAAATACTAGGAAACTTACACCAACCCTCTGGGTCACACAAATCCTACCCACGTTCTCAGACTGAGGCACTGAGCAGTCGAGCAGAGCCTGCAAGACACAGCACATCAGGACCACAAACTGGGAACACAACCTGTCGGGCTTCTCTGCTCAGAGCTTACGAATCCAGCCCCATCACAGATGGATGCAGGAAGAGCCTGTCTGTCCTCTCCCATGTGCGGGTGCAGAAGACCCCACTTCTCTCCTGGGGATTACAGTCACAGCAGTAAGACAGGAAGCAGGCTCTGGACTAGTCAAAGGAGGCCTCCTTCCTACCTAGCAGCCCCCAACTGTTTTCCACGTTGTAGGAAAATGAACCTCCTCATACATCAGAAGTAGGTGCTCCCGAGGGGGTCTTCAGGGCTTCCTCACACAATGCTGAGAGGATGGATGCCGTGCTGGCACCGGTGCCATGTATTAGTGGCCTGCCTGGAAACTGGATACATGTGCACGTGGGGTAGAGAAATTTGGGGAAGATGGGAAAGGACCTTCTAAGAGGTTCTAGATAAACAGTCAGGAGCTACCTATAGGAAGGTGAAGTGCAAAAGTCCTAACTGGAAAGGACCTGCCCCCAGCTTGAGAGAATAACAAGCTAAGGAGCCAATGAGAGGACACAGTAGGTAAACGCCTGCCTCCAAGCCTGAAGACCTGTGTTTGATCCCCAGAACCCACATGGGAGAAGTTATCCTCTGATCTCTCTGATCTCTGTATCATGGCATACACAGGTACATTTACACAGACATGCATATACACAAATGAATAAAATGTAATTTAAACACAGAGTATACTGCTGGGCGGTGGTGGCACACGCCTTTAATCCCAGCACTTGGGAGGCAGAGGCAGGTGGATCTCTGTGAGTTCGAGGCCAGCCTGGTCTACAAGAGCTAGTTCCAGGACAGGCTCCAAAGTTACAGAGAAACCCCGTCTCGAAAAAACAAAACACAGAGTCTAACACACACAGGTACGTAGACATAGATGCTTTGATTTGGGAGGGTAGGTTAGATCATCTCTTTATGGTGTGCTAGGGATGGGATCCAGGACCTCCTGCATGCTTGGCAAGTGCTGTCACCAAACCCCATCTCAGACCACCCTTAGGTCTCGGCAGTACACCACTGTCCTGGGCAATGATGGGCATAAAGGAGAGGAGTGGAAAACATGGCTCAAACACACTTGGGATTCTAAGGTCTGAATCTGCGGGAATCTGTTCTGGACAGATTTTTAAGAAAATGTTTATAATCTTATTTTATTTGCTTGGTTACTGATAGAATTCCATGTAGCTCACATCAGCCTCAAACTTACTATGTGGCTGAAGGCTTTGAACTTCTGATATCCTGCTTCCATCCCCCAGTGCTGGGCTCCAGGGCTGTCCTACCATGGCAAGCTTTTAAGCAGTCCCGGGGCAGAGAGCAAGGCAATGGCACACAACTGAGTGTCAGCCTATTTGGCTTTTGAGACAGTGTCTCATGTAGTCCAGGCTTGCCTAGAATTTGCCATCCTCCTACCTCCATCTCCCAAGACCCGTATTTACAGGTGTGTGCCACCATGCTTGGCAGTAAAGTGACATTGGTATAAGACACAGGAGGTCCCCAGTTAAGTTGGGTGATCTGAACCCTGGAGAAAAGCCAGTGAGGCTGGAGGGGACAGGATGGGTTTGGGGTTCTGAGTTTGGTGAATTTCTTTCTATCTTTTTTTTTTCTTTTTGGATGTTTGTTTTTTGAGATAAAGTTTCGCTGTGTAGCCCTGGCTGTCCTGGAACTCACTTTGTAGATTGGGCTGGCCTCGAACTCACAGGCCTCATTGTTCCCTGAGTGCTGCCCAGCTCCCAGTTTGATGAGTTTTCAGTGATGACCAAAGTTCATACAGAAGCCAAGGTGGACATGATGGGGGTCTAGTTACTATAAAAGAGCAGAGGATGTGGCCGGAAGTTGAGTGGGTGGGGTTTCCTGGAACAATGGGAAATAAGAGTCTACAGGAGGTGAGAGTAAGGAAGGGCACTGGAATTGGATGGTGGGCAGGAGCGGAGCTGGAAGTCAAATGAGGAGAAGGGGGCTCCAACAGTTAAGTCCTAGGTAGGACCGAAGTCCCTAGTGAGGCTCTGCTCTATAATCCAGGGAAAGGGGTCCTGGGTAGCGGAAACCCAGCTGAAAGCTAAGATCGGGAGATTAAGGGTAGGATGCAACCTTATTCAGTCTGGGGGGGTCGAGGGTGTCTCTGGGCCTTAATGGAAATTCATGCTTAAGATTGTGGGAAGTAGATGCACAATCAAATCAAAAGTGTTTTGCATCTATTCTAGGGGGTGAGGAGAGGCCGAAGGGAGACATGCAGTCAGAGTGGATGCAAGGCTAGGATAAGGGAGAACCTAACAGAACCTGAGGTCTGAACTCCGAGAAAGAATTCTGAGGAAGAAAAAAAAGTTCCACACAGGTCGATGGGGACCCCTACACACAAGAGTCAGCACTGGTGGACTGGAGACTCTGATGAAAGTATTAAGAGCTGGTAAGATGGGGCAGCATGGGCGCTTGTGGCAAAACTGAGGTGACCTGAGTTCCATTCCCTGTTTCAACGTGGTGAAAGGCGAGGCCTGCCTTCTGCCAATTGTCCTTTAATCTACAAACGCATGCTGTGCCGCACGCACACGAGACACACACAATAAGTAAGCTAACAAATAAACTAAAAGAAACAGCAGAGGCGGGTGGTAGGTATATTCCTGTAGTCCTGGAGTGGAATTTAAGGTCCAGTCCCACACGACCCCACATGATAGTGCACGTCTTTAATCCCAGCGCTGGGGAGGCAGAGGCAGGCTGATCTCTGTGAGTTAATGGCCAGCCTGGTCTACATAGCAAGTTCCAGGCCAGGCAAGGCTATAGTGAGATCCTGTTTCAAATTAAGAAAGAAAGAGAGAGACAGGGAGAAAGAGAGACAGAGAAGAACCAGATTGTGGAACAAGAGGCTCCAGATGTCAATAATTGAGGTACCCCACACCCTAGCCTGGGCCAGGCGGCCAGGGTAAGAGGTCAGAACTCTAGAGCGGGGGTCCCGGGAGTGGGGGGGAAGGGGAAGCGCGCGCACAGCCCCACCTGGTGCCGCCAGCGGAAGAGGCTGGCCGTGTCGATGTTGGGGTGCGTCTCGTCCTCATCGTCCGACACCTCGATATGATCCCAAACGCTGTAGTCCACCATCTTCGCCTCGGAGGCCCGGATTGGCTCCCGGCTCTACACACGGCCGGGCGCTGAACAGGGACCCACAAGGGATAGAGAGTCCGCTCGCGGAGCCCCGCCCCTTCCGCTTCCGGCCCAGAACACTGCGCATGACAGCCCCGCCCCAGCATCCGCGCCTGACCTCACGTCCTTAGCAACGGGAGTCGGCGGCACTGACAACCAGCAGTGATTCTTAAAGGGCCAGGCTCACGTGGTGAGGCATTATGGGAGTTCCCGCCGAAACCCAACTGAGCTCATTTGGGAACAAAAAATGTAGTTGCCTAGGGTTTGGTGGCCCGCGGTAATCCCAACACTTGCGAGGCTAAAGCAGTTCTAGGCCAGCCTGATCTACATAGTTCCTGGCCAGCCAGGGCTACACAATGAAACTGTGTCTCAAAAAATCAAAATTGGGGGCTGGAGAGATGGCTCAGAGGTTAAGAGCATTGCTTGCTCTTCCAAAGGTCCTGAGTTCAATTCCCAGCAACCACATGGTGGCTCACAACCATCTGTAATGGGGTCTGGTGCCCTCTTCTGGCCTGCAGGCATACACACAGACAGAATATTGTATACATAATAAATAAATAAATAAATATTTAAAAAAATCAAAATTGGGGCTTCAGGGGTGGCTCAGTGGTTAAGAGCACTGACCGCTCTCCCAGGGAACCCGGATTTTGTTCCCAACACCCACATGGTTGCTCACACCATCTGTAACTCCTGCCTCAGGGGATCTTATGCCCCCCTCTGGCCTCTGCCTACACTAGGTCTGCGTGTGGTGCACAGACATACTTGCAGGCAAAACAGCAATATTCACTATGTTTTTTTTTCTTTTTCTTAAAAGGATCTTTACTCTTAATTTTTTTTCCCGAGTCAGTGTCTCACTATATAGCCCTGGGTGTCCTAGTACTCACTATGTAGTTCAGGCTGACCTCGAACTCACATATCTGCCTGCTTCTGCCTACCAATGCTGGAATTAAAATCATGCCCCACTACGCCAGGTCTGCCCTTAAAAATTTTTTTAAAGTTATATTTTAGGAACTGAAGAAATAGCTCAGCAGTTAAGAGCACTGGCTGCTGTTCCAAAGGACCCAGGTTCAATTCCCAGCACTCACATGGCAGCTCACAACTGTAGCTCCAGCTCCAGATTTAATGCCTACATGCAGACAAAACACCAATACATATAAAAATGAATAATAAGTTTTATAAAATTACATTTTATTAATTGTGTGTATATGTACACATGTGAACGTCAGGACAACTTGCGGAAGTCAGTTCTCTTTCTCCATGTTACAGCCCTGTCCTTGCTTCGGGATCAGAAGTGGATAGTCTTTAGACTCTAACACCATTTCGCCCCACTTGTAGGCAGGAACCTCAGTACCTGCAGCCCTCTGGAATCATCCAGAATCCCCCACCTGAAGTATCTCCTTTCACAACCTCTGGGTGTCGCTGATGTCTAAACCAGCGACAGCGTTACCAGTTCTGAACTCAGCGGGAATTGGAAGGCACCAGCGGGGGCTTTCCTCACCATCTGGGGCTACCCACAGCCTCTTCCAGCTCACCTGAGCCCCCTGAATTTCTGCTGGAGTTTGAGGAAATCCAGTTTTTCTGAGCTTCAGATACTTCCCATGTTTTGATACAGGATCTAGAAACTGGCGCTGCAACCGAGGGCCAGCATTATGTCAGATTGAAGGGTGCTATTTGAGATGGGGTCTGGTGGAAAGAGAGGAGCATTATACATATGGCCTGGCGGGGGGGAGGTCCTCTTCACAGCTCGGGAACTGTTGGAGAGGGACTGTCTGGAGCGAATAAAGGTCTGCAGATTGGGGGGTGTCCCCGTTCATGGGGACAGTGGTGGGACAGAGGGGGAGAAGTGGTGGGCGTGAAAGCGTCTTCCCGCTATGACCCCTCCCCATCTCGCTTATTCAAACTCCATAGTGGGCGGGGGCGGGGCTGAGGGAGCCCCGTTTTTCTTCCCCTCCTCCCCCAGTTTGGCAATCCACCACACCAGCAGTGGTCTATCCCAGCCCGGGCACGCGCATGACGGACCTATACCCGAAGGGTCTCCCATACACCTACGCACACCAGCAAACAAAGAGTCTGGACACTGGTCCCCTCCCGCTGTCCCGACCCCAGGTCCGAGAGGGCGGGCCTCCTCTCTCCAGCCCCTTTTCCCAGCAAGGTAAGTTCTGGGGATGCTAGCTATGTTGGGAAGAGGGGGAACCCGACTCCCGGGAGGAAGGACATTAAGATCATGGGGTTCCCCTAGCTCTCCATGAAAGCTGTGATCCCTCCACCTATGCCTTGGTACGTTCTTGTTGGGTCTCCATCCCACCACTGACTCTGTATGTGTGGTGTGGTGTGTGGTGTGGTGTGTGTGTGTGTGTGTGTGTGTGTGTGTGTAGGAAACCCTGGCTGTTGAGAATTTTCTGGTAGGTGAGGGGATGTTCCCCACTAGGCTTCTGACGATGGGGGTGCCTAAGTGGCAGGGGACCTGGGCCACGGCTCCCGGAATTCTCATCAAGCATTCCTAATCTGTTACCGGCTGTGTCCAGCCCCTGGGGTCAGGGAGAGACACAGCCCCGAGTTACTGAGAGTCGTTTCTCAATCTCAAATCCCTGATAACCCACCTTCCCCACCGGAGACCCCTAGAGGCTGTTGGTGGGAATCCCTACCGCCAACACCTTTCCATCTCAAGGATCCCAGCGGTCCTTGGGTATTTCTGAGCTTCTATTTCTTCAGCTACTTATAGGAGTAACTACAGGCTGAGACTAAGGTAGACCAGGAGCCCAACGTGCCTTAATTTTTTCCTTCATTTCCTTGTTATTTCATTCCTATTCCCTAACTACGTACTGTAAATGCCAGCCACTTTGGCCAGACAGTAGTTGCAGCAAAGGGGAGACACTTATAGGTCCCTGTTTCTGGTTGGCCAGGGAGCAAGATCCGCATATAAACAAGTCTTTGTATATGAACTTGACCATCACAATGGAAATTCTGCCAGTAATGGAGGTGTTGAATGCCTGACCTCAGCACTTGGCAGGTAGAAGCAAGAAAGAGGATCAGGAGTTCCAGGCTGACAATGGCTATAAGGGGTTTGAAGCCAGCCTAGGTTGCAGGAGATCCTGTCTTAGAAAACAAAAATCTGTCTTGGGATGGTAACTCTTAACTTTAATCCCAGCACTCTGCAGGCAGAGGCGAACAACTATAAGTCAGGACAGCCAGGAACACATAGTGAGACCCTGAAAAAAACAAGTTCTGATTAAGTGAAGGAAATTAAAATTCAGACTAGATCCAGATAATTGGGCAACAGGAAAGAGGGTTATCGTGAACCAATTAGTCACTCCCCCCCTTTTCTTTTCGAGTCAGGGTCTCACATAGCCCCTGATCCTCCTGTCTTTACCTCCGCCCCCCGTCCCAACTGTTGGCATAACAGATCCTAGTCATCCTGACTTGCTGTCTTCCATAGGAGTTGAATCTTTTTTTTTTTTCTAGACAGGGTTTTTCTCTGTGTAGTCCTGGCTGTCCTGGAACATGCTCTGCCTGCCTGCCTCTGCCTCCCCAGAGCTGGCACTAGAGGCTTGCGCAACCACTGCCCGTGAATCATCATTCTTATAAAAATGAGGAAGGGGCCACCGAGATGGCTCAGTGAGTAAAGGTGCTTGAGACCAAGTTTGAAGATCTGAGTTACATCTCCAAGACTCGTGTCTGTGTGTCCACTATAACATGATGACTGTGCACGGCCATCTTCCCTTCCCCACATAAATAAAGAAATGTCATTTTTTTCCTTTCCTTTTTTTTTTTTTTTTTTTTTTTTTGGAGACAGGGTTTTTCTGTGTAGATCCTGTAACTTGATTAGTGGGTTGTTTCTCTCCTCCTACCACGCTGGTTCCCAGGCTTGAGCTCCAGTCTCAGCAAGCACTTCTATATATGTTAAGTAAGCCATCCCGCCCACTGCAATCCACATCTTTAACCTCTGGGAAACACCGCTTCCTGCTGCAGCCACGCACATGATCCCAGCAAGCACACGGCAGGGTCACGCGGCCATCTAGCTAGCCTTATGCCCAGTCCACTGACACCGTGCTTTTCTGTCCATTCTGTAGTTTGCATAGCTGTCCTGAAGCTGAGATCAGATCTCAACTGCACTACACATGTCTGGCTAGTCGGGAAGCTGCATGCAATGTAAACACAAGTGTACATGGCTGTGGAGGCCTGCTTCAGCTCTAAAGGTAGAGCAGAAGTGTGAGCAGATGCACTGGGCTATGGTGTGAATAAGGGCTCCACACATGGGGACTGGCTCTGCAATAACACAAGAAAAGGACAGTTGATAATAGTTCCTTCTGGTGCCCTGCAGTGCAGTGGTTGAGGGCAAATAGTACCTAACTGCCATGGAGACCTGTGATCCCAGCTACTCAGCAAGCAGGACACACACGCAAAGCCCAAAGCAGCCTTCTGTACATCAGGACACATGTCCCCCACCCCCCATTCAGGGTACTGTCCCGAGAAGGAAGCCTTGGGATTGTCAGTGTTCTTCTCTAGCCTATGTTTGCAAAGCTTTATATTTGAGTGGACAGAGCTTGATGTGGCAGCTGACAACTTTGATCCCAACACTCAGGATCAGAGTCTGGTCTACAGGCTGAATTCTAGATCAGCAAAGAGGTCCTGTCTACAAAAACCACTGGCATTTATTTGGACAATAGGAGGGGGCTGGCTGCCTATAAATTGTTCTGTGGCCCCTGCATGTGGGCAGTGAAACCCACACACACTCTTACAGTTTACACACACACACACACACACACACACACACACAAATAACAAGGCAATTTAAAATTTAAAAGTTAACTAACAACAGCAGTAGAAAGGGATCCAGGAAGAACACAGAGTGTCTTGAGATACTTTCCAGGCGGCAAGAAGAGCGTGTGCAAAGGCCCTGAGGTCTGGACACTTTCTGAGTGAGGGACAGTGAGGAGGCTACTGGGGCCAACCTCTCTGAATGTCTTATAGTCTCTTGAGTACATCTATAGCTCTATGAAGCAAAATTACTATTTTTCTTGTCTCTCTGGCTATCCTAAAACTCACTCTGATGTATTTTTCATTG